CACTCTGTTCCTGTTTTCCTTCCTCCAGGTCACGATTGTTGTACACCATAAGAGTAGTATCAAAAACCTGATTTTGATTAGTTCATGGCCCCATCAGTAGCGTTTGGAGCTTAAGTCTAATGTCGGTGGTGGACTGGCTAATGAAATGCTGTGCCATTAATATTTTGCATTTGGAAAAAGAAGGGTCCAGAGTAGTATATTTTGTAAAGACTTCCTCCAGCCTGCCATAAAACATGGCTGGATTTTCCTCCTTGGCTTGTGTAACCCCCCTTCATTTACATTATTTACTACCTTAGTTATTCCCTTTCTCATTCCTCCAAGGAGATTTAGCCCAGTTGTTCATTCCCATGGGGGTATTATAGTCCCAATTAGGATCAATAGTGGAGACTGTGTTTGGGCCCAGGTGAGGACCCTGAAGGTTTCAGGTGAATAAATCATCTGCTTCCCCGCGGGCGGCCTCGAAGATTTGATCTTTTTCCCAAGGGGGTGCATCAGGTTGCTAGAATGAATTGAACATCTTTCCATGAGAGAGCAAAGGCTAAGGCCAAAATCTGGAAAGCTTCTGCATATTTCCTGGGATTCTTGAAATAGTTTTCTAGCTTTTACTTACATTGTTGTATATCAGTTATAGAGAAGGGACCTGCACTAGGACTGGCCCCTCAGCTTCTGCTACTTCCCTAAGGAGTAGCAGGGCTCCAGGGAGAGTTGAATAAGATGTTCTCCTTTGAGTGTGATGGGGACTTAGTAGGGTTCCCAGTGTTCGGGGTTTAGCCTTAAGAGCACTTGGCAAGGGGCTGTATGGAGACAGATGCTGTTCACCCCGAAAGATAGGTGGCCCTTGTGAAAGAGGATCATCTGTAATATCTAGTTCTGCCTTAGGACTTTCCTTTGGGGGGGCTGGTTCTGGGAGTTTTGCAGATTGTTAGGTTTTGGTATAGGGTCATGAAGGTCTGTACATATGGTATTTCTGACCAGTTCCCTGCATCTTGCAAAATGGGTCTGATTGCAGGATGGTATCATAATTAAGGCTACCATTGACTGCACATTGCTCCAGGCTGGGCAGCTCATAATTAGGCCAAACAGCATTGCAGAAAAAATATGTATATATATGTTTTATCTTTAGATTATCAGTATCAAATTGATTCCAATGGTGGAGGATGCAGCCAAGCAAGGAATCAGGTGGAATAGATGGAGGGTTGCCCATAGTGGAATCAGGTGGAGTAGATGGAGAGTTGCCCATAGTGGTCTGGAAAAGAGAGGAGGACTTTGAATAGTGGAGGGTTTATCAAGTGACCCGAGTGATGCTTGAGGCATCCTGGAAAAATTCTAGGTCCTGACTGGAGTCCCCAGGGGCATTCACCTTTTGAGCCCTGTCTTAGTCTGTCAGACATCTCCGACATTAGATGGGTGCTGGCATTGCTTTGGAATAGTTCCCTCCACCACTAACCCATTATGAGTGTTCCTTAAGGTTTTCCTATCCCACTTAAAGCAACTCTTTTACTCTCTAAATTTAGGCAAGAAATCCACATTAGATTGTACATCAGTTCCTGCATAAATTCCTTTTCATGAATTCCCCCCCATGCCCCACACAGACCATCTACAACATTCCCAGACCCTCTGACTTGTCCTAAACATCCCGTCCCTCTTTTTAAACAACCAGTCATCTCTTTTCTTTATAACATTCTTTGCATAGTTGGTGGGTTTCTTTTGTCCTTGACCAGTCAAATAGGGGAAGGGAAGAATTTAGCATGAAAAAAGAAGGTTCAAGTCACCTGAAATGTGTGTGAGTTCACTCTGGGGGAGCTGTTGCTGCCAATTGTGTCACATGTAGGAATCAGGGACTATAAGAAAAGAAGGTTTAAGTGGCCTGAAACATGAGTTCACCCTGTGCCACTGTCAATTGTGTCACACATAGAGATCAGGGACTATAACCAGAAAAGATAGAAAAGAGTCCATCCGCCTTCCAGGCAAGGCAGCTATCCCCATGCACTCCTTCGCCTTCAGACGACACTGGAGCATGGCCCTGGCCAGTTGCCCTCAAATACCAAGGAGCTACTAGGAAACAGCTGCAGAAATACTGAAAGAAAAAAAGGAAAAGGACTCAGGTCCCTTAGAACTGGGTGGTAGCAGTCAAGGGCTTCCACATGAAAATGTTTTCCATTTCTCCAGAGATTGGCCCCAGCCAGTAACCTGCAGTTGCCTCTGTGTTTAGGCACTGCCCACCAAGCATCCCAAGTTGGAAAGGAAAAGCCAGAAAAAGAGAGAGAGAGAGAAAAAGACTCCCCTATATGAAACAGATAGGAAAAGGGGAAAGGAGAACAATAAATTCCAAATCCTATGCAAAGAAAGACTTAACCCATTATGAGTCTGATTGGTTGCAGGAAAGGACCAACCAGAGGTACTTTCAGTTTTTCATCTGCCACACAGAAACGTGGGGGTTGCAAGGAGAGTAGCCCCTGGTCCTTTTTTAACTTGGGCATGGAAAGTTGAGGTTTTTATTTTGATTTAGTTCTAGGAAGTCAGTGAGAATAGGCTTTAGGTTCCCTTTCTCCAGACCCTATTCTCCTGCCTCACAGGTTAATGTTATCTTTGATTACAGTATATTTTACCAAAAAGTGTATCATGAGAAGACATCAGTTTTTTGGTCCATTTGTTTACTCATTCATTTATTCATTCATAACTCTCTTAGTAATTCCAGAGTTCACCATAATATCTTCATTTGTGCAATACTGTACTATATGTTGAGTAAAAAAAATGTAGGAGCTCTTTTTTGGTGGTGTCATTTTATTTTCTTTTTCTACGCTGAAGAATAAAATCATGTAATTTTATTGTGTAAAACATGATGTTTTAAAATATATATATGCTGTGAAATTGTCAAATTGAGGTAATTAACAAATGCATAACCTCATATAGTTATTATTTCTTTTGTGAGAACACTTAACATCTACTCTCTTAGCATTTTTCAAGATACGATGTATTTGTATTAACTATAGTCACCATGTTGTACATTAGATCTCTTGAATTTGTTTATTCCATCTAACTGAAATCTTTTGACCAACATCTCCCAAGCCCTTCACCCATCAGCCCCTGTTAAACACCATCCCACTCTACTTCTATAAGATCAACATTTTAGATTCTACATGTAAGTGAGATCATGTGGTATTTGTCTTTCTGTGCCTGGTTTATTTCACTTAACATGATGTCCCCCAGGTTCATCCATGTCGTTACGAATGGTAGAATTTTCTTCTATTTTTATGACTCAATACTATCCCATTGTGTATATATACCACATTTTATTTATCCATTCATCTGTTGATGGACACTTAGCTTGATTTCATAGCTTGGCTATTGAGAGTAATGTTGCAATAAACATGGCAGGGCAGCTCTGTCTTTGACATACTGATTTTCTTTTGGATATACCCAGTAGTGGGATTACTGAATCATGTGCTTGCTTACTTTGCATGATTTTTACCTTCTCCTTTGTAAATGTTTTTTTCATGTTATTCTTTGACTATATAACTTTATATAGTTATGTAGTCCTCTGTAACTTTCACAGTGACACATATTTGCATACTTGCCTTTTGCTATTTTTCTCATTGCTTTAACTGATTTTCTTTCAGTCTATATCCTGAGACTGTACTCATTTTTTTCTACTATACTTTTGTCTAAATAATTCAATAATAAATCTTTCATCAGTAATTTAATTTAGCCAGGCCTAATTTTGGAAGCTGAAAGAGGTTAAGTTAGATGTTCATATATAGAAAAACATTTTCTATTTCTATCTTTCGTATTGCAAAATTGATATGCATCTAAAATGAATCCTGAGTGACTGGTAATGAGCTACCTGAAGACAGATAATACTCAATGAAAATGTAAAAACAAATGATAAAGGGCAGTATCCAACTTATTTACAAGAAAAGGAGTTAATAGTATGTACATATCATGAACATAAAAAAATTGGTAACATATGCCATTTTACTTAGATTTTCATTTATTATTACTGATTATAGCCAGAGAAAATATGCCTCTGGCCATTTTAAAAGAAGTAATTAAAAAGCGGTCCTGGACATTAACAAACAGGAATAGGAAATTTCAGAAAATAGCTTTTTCTTGAATAAATATTGCTTAAATAATGGGAAATTTGTGTAATTTTTTTACTCTTTGGTGTTAGAACATATTTAATTTAATCAAAATCAAAATCTTAAATATCTTCAATTTAAGCTAAATACAAAGCTCTTATTTGCTTTTCACTTAAAATTTTTGCTCTATAAAAATGTTCTGTTTAGCCGGGCATGGTGGCTCATGCCTGTAATCCCAGCACTTTGGGAGGCTGAGGCAGGCAGATCACCTGAGGTCAGGAGTTCGAGACCAGCCTGGCCAACATGATGCAACCCCGTCTCTACTAAAAATAACAAAAGTTAGCCAGGCGTGATGGTGTACACCTGTAGTTCCAGCTACTTAGGAGGCTGAGGCAAGAGAAGTGCTCAAACCCGGGAGATGGAGGTTGCAGTGAGCCAAGATTGTGCCACTGCACTCCAGCCTGGGTGACAGAGCAAGACTCCTTCTCAAAAAAGAAAAAAAAATGCTCTGTTGATATCAAGAACAGTTTAGATTGTGTGTAAAAAAAAAAGTCTGATTTAATACAATGTACATTACTTCAACTGATTGCTTAATTTCTTATTAAATAAAATTCCAGAAAGTGTATGAAATTCTTACATGGCAAGTATATCAAATTAAAAATAAAAATTACCTTATTAAATTTTCAGAGTTTCAAGACTGGATGCATTAATGTTTATTTATTTCACTGAAATTTGCTATTTTGGTTTTTGAAATCTTTTGGAAAACTGCAATTTTTTAATCAAGATTATTTTTACTTAACAGGAAAAATGCAATATTAGTCAAAGAAAATAAAGATACTTTAAAAAATTTAATAATACATGATTTTTTTTTCTCCCATTTAATCCTGTTTCAACTGATTCCTTTCTTGTTTCTTTCAACAGGCTGAGTTAAATGACCCAACCGATCCTTTCACTAGGTATAGTACAAACATCTCATCAAATGTAGGAGAAGAAGTTTTTTCCAAATATATTGGGTGGAGAATTGCCGACACTCTTTCCAAACTATTCTTTCCCCCCATTGAGGCCCGTGTTCTTCCTTTGAAGAAACCATCAATAAAAAAGGATCAAACAAAATATCCGAATAAAAAGCTGGAGTCCATGAAAAAGAAAGTTCTACATTTCACTGTAAGGTAAAGAGAAGTACTATTGGTTTTATTATTCTAATACATTACAATTCAAAATCACAGAAATTATAGATAATTATTTGCCACATTATTTAACTCAGTTTCTCTTCTTCAATTCAAATTTTGGTTCGATCACCTCCTAGGTGGTCTATCATTGAGCAAGTTCCTCCCTTCTCCGAAACTCTTCATGTTTGTAATAGGCATTATTACATAATACAAATCAATATTAATGTAATTCTTGTGAGGTAAATACTAACTTAAAACAGAAACCAAATCATTCAATATTCAAAATTTTAAGACTTTATTTTATGTGTGTATCCATACATATATATACATACTTGATATGTATCTTACATATCTAAGTTAGAGTCTTGAACATAGTAAGTCTTCAAAAACTGGTAGTTATGAGACTAATCAGATTTTATGTTTCAACTCCTCATAAATTTATTTCAAAGGACTCCAGGAAACATTGGACTTAGGAATGATTTATTAAAGTGAATAATTTTCAAATTTATTTACAATTTCTCCAGTGGCAGATTTCTTTCAGATTCTTGGGGTCCCTGTTGTCATTTTAAGATATACAGAATGTTAAGATGTTAAAAGTCACTTTTAGACAGATTTTTAAAATAGATGAAAAATCACTCTTGATATATAACACAGGCCCTATTTTACATTGTAAATCTCTTAGTAAAGCTTTAATCACGACAGAAACTTTTATTTACTTTTTAACCCAAGTCATTTGAAGAATATATTGTTATATTTTTTCCTATTAATTTTAATACATTTACTATAAAGTCAGCTTTCCTTGTATTTTTAATTCATATTTTGATGTGTTTGGTGTTCTGTTGAGCAATTTATTCCTGATAGGCTGTGATTGATTGATTAATAGATAGCACACTGATTTTGATTTTACCATTCTGAATTTTTTGTTGTTGTTGTAAATTGTACCTGCTATATATTGTTTTATACGTTACATCTGATTGGCTTTGCCTTTGTGTCTTTTTACAATCTAATGTAAGAGCCTTTTGTTCCTGGATTAGAGGAATTTAACCCAGTGAATAAACTTAGCTGGACTAAATAGTTGCTGAAAATGCATCTGTAAATTTAAACTTAACTGTAAATTTTATTCAATTCCTGAATATATACTTTCTTATGTATTTATTCTTATTTATTTTTCATTTGACTAAGGTATTATCAAGTGTTTTAAATATGTGCTCAATATTTGAAAATATGTTGTATTTGCCTCCACAAATAAGGAGTAATTTGGATTAATATGTAAAATCATTATCCTTTATAACTATTGCCACAGTATATTACTGTGTTTGCAAAGTCTAGTATAATATGTGATTCTCTTTCCTTTGTAGGATCTCCCCAGTTTTAAGAACTCTTATACATATTCTCTTTCATGAAAAATGCTCCAACTTTCTGTATATTAAAGGTAAAAAGTCAAAGCCTCTTTAGATTATAGACCCTTCCTTCCCTGATTTACCCCCTCATCTCTCCCTATCCTAGGTAATAACATCAGTAATTTCTTGTGTGTCCTTTCAGGGTCTATAAAATGCAAATATAATACATTATTAGTATTTTTAACTTTTTCCCCTTCATTTTAACATGAAAGTTAGCATAGTAAACATAGTATTTGGCATCTTGAATTTGTCATTTAACCTGATTTCAGGTACATTTTTCCATTCCAATACATAGAAAATGTTCTAATTATTATCATTTTTTAAACAGACAAGTTTTCCTTATTATGGATATATCATAATTTATTTACCCAGTTTTCTATTGGTTAAAGTCCTAGCTTGAATAATTAGACAAGAAAAAATAAAAGGCATCCATATCAGAATATAAGAAGAGAAACTGTCCCTGTTTTCAGGTGACATGACCTTATATATATATAACCCTAGAGACTCCACCAAAAAACTTTTAGAAGTAATAAATGAATTCATTAAAGTTGCAGGATACAGAGTCAACAAATAAAATCTGTTACATTTCTGTACACTAACAGTGAGCTATACGGTAGAGAAATTAGGAAAACAGTTTCATTTACAATAGTACAAAAAAGAATAAAAAACTTAGGAATAAACTTAAATAAGGATGTAAACGACTTCTAGATTGAAAACCACAAAACCTTGGTGAAATAAAGAATACATAAATGAATGTCAGTTTGTATTCCTGTGTTGAAAGAATTAATCTTGCTAAAATGTTCACAGATTCAATGCTATCAAAATCACAATGGCATTTTCTAAATAAATATAAATAACAATTCAGAAATTCATATGGGAACACAAAAGATTGTGAATAGCCGAATCAATCTTGAGAAGGAAGAATAAACCTGCAGGCATCACACTTTCTGATTTCAAAATATATTACAAAGCTACTGTAATTAAAACAGTATGGTATTAGCATAAAGACAGACGTATAGACTAATGAAACAGAATAGAGAGACCAGAAAGAAATTCATGCACATATGGTCAATTAATCATTGACAAGGTTTCCAAGAATATATAACAGGGAAAAAAGATTCTCTTCAATAAATGGTGCTAGGAAAGCTGTATATCCACATGTGTAAGAATGAAATTGAACTCTTACACCAAGCACAGAAAGCAGATCCAAATGGATTAAAGACTTAAATGTAAGACATGAAACTAAAAATCCTAGAAAGGAGCAAAGAACGAAAACTTCTTGACATTTGTCTTTACAATGTTTTCTTGAATATGACACTAAAACTGCAGGTGACAAAAACAATTAGAACTACATCAAACTAAAAGTCTAATGCAAAGCAAAATAAACAATCAACAAAATTAAGTCATTCTACAGATTAGGAGAAAATATTTGCAAACCATATTTATGACAGGGGTTTAATTTCCAAATATATAAGGAATTTCTTCAATTCCATAGCCAAAAAACTCTCAGATCTACTAAAAATAGGTTAACAACTTGAATAGATATTTTTCTAAAGAAGATATACAATTAGCAGTAAGTATATACAACAACGTTCAATGTCAGTAATCACCAGTGAGATCCGTGAGAGAGAAAGGTCTTGGGGGATGAGAGGTCACCTGAAGAGAAAGACCACATAGAAAAGAATCAGTGCCCCAGCTGGCAGCCCACGACAAGGCCTTAGATATACTAGGAAGCCATCTTGGACCATACAGCCCAGCCCAGCTCTCAGCTTAATGCACCTGCATGAATGAGCTCAGCCAATACTGTTTAGTGTGTAGATTAGCAATCCCCAGTGAGCCCTACCCCAATTCCTGACCTACAGGATTAGAACAGCAGATCATTATTGTATTATTATTATTATTATTATTATTTGAAATGGAGTTTTGCTCTTGTTACCCGGGCTGGTGTGCAATGGTGCGATCTTGGTTCACCACAACCTCTGCCTCTTGGGTTCAAGCGATTCTCCTGCCTCAGCCTCCTGAGTAGCTGGGATTACAGGCATGCACCACCACGCCTGGCTAATTTTGTATTTTTAGTAGAGATGGGTTTTCTCCATGTTTGTCAGGCTGGTCTCGAACTACCAACCTCAGGTGATCCACCCGCCTTGGCCTCCCAAAGTGCTGGGATTACAGGCATAAGCCACTGTGCCCAGCCCATTATTATTTTAAGTCACTAGATTTTGGGATGTTTCTCAAGCAGCAATACAGGATGAAACAAAACTCTTCTTAATTATTACATAATAGTCTAATAGTGTCCTGTTAGATCCTCTTGTTAATGATTGATCTAGAAATTTTTCATAAGTAGTCTTAAGTAATATTTGTTTATAATTGTGTATTTCCTGTTTAATTTTTGTCAAGTTTTGCTATCATTGTTATTCTTTGGAACTTTTTTTCTGTGTTCCAAAATAATTTCAGAAGCTCAGAATAATCTACTCTTTCAAGCTATGTTAGAATTCCCTCTTTTTAAAATTTTAATTATTATGAATACATACTAGTTGTACATAATTATGGAGTATACGTGATATTTTAACACAAGCATACAATGTGTAATGATCAAATCAGAGTAATTAGGGTATCTGTCACTCTAATAATTTGTCATTTCTTTGTGTTAGGAACATTCCAACTCCACCCTTTTATTTTGAAATATACAATAAATTATTAACTATAGTTGCCCTGTTGTGCTACTGAGCATCAGATCTTACTCCTCCTACCAAACTCTCTCTCTCCTTCCGTATATATATATTTATATATGTATATATATTTATATATGTGTGTGTGTATATATGTGTATATATATAACCATTTAACCATCTTCTCTTTATCCCTCCCTCCTTCTTCACTCTTCACCACTCCTCCTGACTTCTGGTAGCCATCCTCCATCTCCATGAGTTCAATATTTATTTAACTTCTGAATATGAATGAGAACATGCAGTATTTGTCTTTCTGACCTGGCTTATTTAACTTTACATAATAGCCTCCAGTTCCCTCCATGTTGTTGCAAATGACAGGATTTCATTCATTTTTATAGCTGAATAATATTACATTGTGTATATATACCACATTTCCTTCATTTGTTCATCTATTGATGGACATTTGGGTTGATTCCAAATTTTGGCTATTGTAACAGTGCTGTGATAAACATAGGAGTGCAATATTCCTTGATATATTGATTTTCTTTCTTTTGGGTGTATACCCAACAGTGAGATTGATGAAACATATAGCAGTTCTGCTTTTGTTTTTTTGAGGAACCTCCATACTGTTCTCCATAGTGGCTACTAATTTATATTTCTTCCAACAATGCATGAGTGTTCCCCTTTCTCCACATCCTCACCAACATTCATCATTGCTTGTCTTTTGAATAGAAGCCATTTTAAGTGGGATGAGATGATATCTCATTGACATTTTAATTTGAATTTCTCTGATGATTAGTGATGTTGAACATTAATCATCAGTACCTTATGCCTCTTCTAAGGTAGTTCTTTGTCAAAATTTTTTTTCTATGGCTGTTGACAAGATTGATATTCAGCCCAAATGCACATGTACGGCAACATTCAGTTTTGA